TCATTATGGAAAACGTTTTCGCTTTAAATATTCTAAAGCTTTACGGTGAAGCGGTAGATATATCCCTCATTCATATGTGTGTGTGTAAGGTGAACTACTCAATACAATAAACAACCATCATCGATTCCACAGTCATTGTAGAATCTGATGAATCAAGTCGTCTATAGTATTTGACTTTTCTGTTTCACTACAACAAACAATACGGTCGGTGTTAACCGAGAAATGGAGGAGTGTCGTCAGGCGCAGTGCGTCGACCCCACGCCTCGGTTTCCGTTTCCGCGACCTCGGACCAACCCCGGCGTGGCTTTATTTGCCAGCTAACGGGATGGCACTAGTCCACGGAAGGCAGATTTAATTTTCGATTCTTTTTTGTGGACATCATATTCTTATTTCGGCCGATTTTGTCGAGCAGGCTTGAGATTCTTGTTGCTGCTTCCAAAGTATACCAATATAGTATTAAAACTGTGATCTAGCAACGCACGAATGGGCAGGTCCGTCCGGGGGTATACCTACCCGACCCCATAGTAGACCGGCGTGAAATAGAAGTTTCATAGTTCTGTGTTTTTTCTGGTGAGCGAGGTAACTTCATTAAAACATTACAACTTCTCACATTAAAAAGAAAATGCTTATTCGTATAGGGACATAAATCAGGACAGAAATCAGGTCGCCGGCTGGTGAGTTGGCTGTCTATGATAAATTTATATTCAACTTGATTTAAACTAATACGGTGAACTGCTTGCTAATTGATTAACATTTATTTTAATTGGACTTCCGTTGAAAAGTGGCAGTTATATATTCATTCGCATGATTTTTAGTTTCCGTGCCATAACTGAATAATTATGTTGTAGAGTGCATAATGACTCACGGGTTAATTCTGTTGACGTGTTGCATTGAGTGTCATCGGTCACCGCCCTGTATGCGTACATATGTACAACTCTTTTCTTTAGTTATAAACATTGCCAAATATATTTTTAGGCACGGTATCTTATTATGTATACAATATTGAATTATAAATGTCAAAATAACTTAGATATAATCTTTCCTTATGCCGATATTAGTGCAATGAATTTGATTTGACTGTATTATGCATATTAAGATTTAACTAATAAACATTTTAACGATAGGCATTAATATTTGCTAAGTCATTTTGTTTTTTAAAGTATATTTTTATAGTAATTTGGTTGAAGATCGCGATTTGGTTCATCTCCCTGAAATAAGAAATATAAGTTATTCTGTAAAGGGCAGAGTAGGAGTAATTTCTAAACATCTTGCTATAATAAACTGTGTTATTGTATTCAAGACTAGCGACCCGCCCCGGCTTCGCACGGGTGCAATGTATTTATAAATATAAACCGTCCTCTTGATTAGTAAAAAAAACGCATCAAGATCCGTTGCGTAGTTTTAAAGATCCAAGCATACATAGGCACAGACAGACAGTGGGACGACTTTTTTTTAGACTATGTAGTGATAAATGTTATTTCGATGTTTCAATAGTACGACCGTTTGCGTCTCGAAACGAAAGAAACTAAACTAAGAAAACGGCCCGTCGTATAGATTCGGATTCAAGTCTGTCATCGTGTTTGCCCAACGTGCACGTAATTGCCCAACACGCGGCACCGTGTGTCCTCGTGTGAAACGTTAAAAATGTACACAGCGGGTACACGAAGGCATTTGTCGTGTGTGGCCGTGAGAAAGGCCGTGTCCACGGCGTAGACCGTCGCGCATACGATAAGGCTTAATTTTACTTTAAAGGATAGGCAACACTGACGGGCGGAGCGATAAGCGGGAACGCGACACGCGTCTAGCGACAAGATCGTTGTCGTCAAAAAATAAAATATCTCATTCATTATCATTTTTTTTATATTTTAAGGAGATCCCTGATGTATCTTAGATCCCAAGGTCCAACAGTGAAATTAATATGGCACCACATGCGAAAGTCTCTATGCGAAATATATATTATAAATACTGACTTTTACGATGTTGCCGAACTGACAACACTCATTAGTTTACTATAGAAAAGTTTAATAAAATTACAGATTTAATTTACTAAATTCTGCAATGTATGCTTAATTGTCAAATTTCAAGGAAAGGTGAGTTATACATAGATAGTATGAAATTTTGTTAATTTTTACTATGATAAAATGTCATTGGGTTCTAATACATGGTCAAATTGATATCGTAAAATTATGAGAATTAAAAAACGCACGTGAAATGATATTGACATTCTGGTGAGGATTTGAATATCCATGGGCAGAGTTTGCTACTTATCATCAGATATACTGCTTTAAGCTGCCGTCTCATTGAATTAAAAAAAATGTTCAGCTGATCACATACGTAATTCGTAACGAGATCTGTTCATTAATAAACAACCGTTCTCATTTCTTTAAGCGTTGTTTGAACTATTCGGAAACCGGTATTGTTACGGTTCTATATGACTGACAAACTTGATCATATTATATCATACTAATCGAAGAAGCTAATTTTAATGCATTAGTGTTCTGATTCCTTAATTACGTAAACTGATATTTTGTTCCCACGCATAATTTTCTCATTTCATTCATATACCACTAGCGGTAGCGTGGTACGTTTCTTTAAAATAATTAATCTTTTTTTGTAAACGAACGTCACCCTGACACAAAATGCTTTATTAGAAGTAAAGTCTTTTTTAACATGTGTAATTATAATTACGAGTATACAATAAAATCCAGCCATTTTTTTTTTGCAAACGTCACCGGCTATTCGCAAATCTTACTTGTCTCTGCAAGATGATCATGTATTAATATAACACGAAAACAACTAGTCAAAAGAAATATATAAAGTAGTCGTTTATTAAACACCAGCAAATAAAAAATTTAATCATTTTGCATCTCATCAAACAGTATTAAATATGCTGAGGAAATTTGTATGAATTCTGGTGGTAGGGCCACGCAGCAGCCTCGGCTGTTGCACGAATGGGCTGGCTCGTCTGGGTAAGTACCACGGCCTTACAGAAGACCGGCGTAAAATGGAAGTATAATACTTTTGCGTTTCGTCTGGTGAGTGAGGTGCCAGAGCCCAATTTTCAAAAGGTTGTCAACGCATCTGGAACCCTCGGGTGCTGCAGACGTCCATGGGCGGCGGTATTCACTTAACATCAGGTGAACCGTCTGCTCGCTTGGCAACTTTTCAAATAAAAAAAAATCCGTTAAAATTCTATATTGAACTTCATTATTGAAGCAATAAGTTTTAACAAAATTTCATACACTAAAATTTGTAGAAAAAATACGAAAAGATTGTCGCCGCCGTGGGAATCGAACAAAATTGTAATTGTAATCATTAGCTATGAAATGGACAAAGGAATTCGCCTTACTATAGGAACCAATCTCCCACAATGTGTTAATAGTTAGTGTCTATTACTAGATGCTATATGAAATCTGCTGTATTGCGTTCAGATAATAAATAATAAAAAATCTGAACGCTCCGCTTTTACACTTAATTCTGACCTAATCAATCCCGTAAGTGTCCCATGTTAAGCCCATTGACAATATTCAGCTATGCGTGTGGGTCACGGCGGCACTTCGCGCTTAGTATTCCATTATCGTCAGCGCGAGCATGGCTTTTCTATGTTTTATTCGTGGAATTTATTGGTTGACGTAATATGCTTAACCTTAAGAAAAGCTATCCCTTTATTCTTATAGTCCCTTCTCAGAATTGAACCAAAGTCCTAAGAGAGAAGAGTGTTATCTCTAGTCATTACTTATTTCCACAATTACATGATTTGAGAGAACGTTGCTATACGTTCGTGTTTAATAATATCGGAACTGAAATTTTGAATCGAAATGAAAAAAATATGCGAAATGTTGCATTTTACTATATGGGATAATTATGTTTCTGTATGCGATAGATAGCCCAATTGGAAACAGGACAAGCTATTATGAACTTAATTTGAGCCCACTTAATTATTTGTTCGGAATTTTGGCTCATTTTGCGTTTACCAAGCTAAATACCACGACAAAAATTATTTGATATTATCTTTTTCTTAAATATTAAATACGGACTACCGTAATAAGGAAATATAATTTTCTGTGCATATAAATAAATAAATGATCATCCGACAAAGGTGTGTTACGATGATATTATAACTATAGTTCTAACATTTTATTTTGAGTGATTCCCAAAAACCACTGCGACCTACAAGATCTACTGTATGTACTCTTCCCCCTTACTGTAGGATAACATTATCCCGTGTCTAGAGGACGTTTCACATTCATAAATCCCACTAGTTACACCCGCGTTCCAGGAGGCGGTTCTCACCGCCCCCAGTCACCGACTAACCAACATACTGTCAACGGCCATCGGAGTCACGGTCCGCACCGAACCTCGATGGCCCATAGGCGACATGCCACCCACTGAGGAGGGCCTGAAACCCGTGAGTTCTGGCTTAGCCCACCGGTTCTACGTTCGGTAAAGCCTTAATAAGACTGAAATAAAGATAAACACCCAGAATAAAGATAAACACAAATTATCGAAGTCGGAATGCTAAACTATTTCACATACCATATAGCACAATTAAGTTTGCGCAAAATAACCCAATTTACAGAATGTGTTCCATCTACAATAAACTTGCTGGCAGCAATAATTCCATTGATATTTTTTTTACCAAAAACTGAGTGCATTCAAACAAATTATCACATGTCCATAATGTGTTTTGTTTTTTTTTTCCTCTTATTTTTATAGATTTTTTATTTTGTTTTTAGCAGCTTTTGTTTATAGTTTTTTTTATCTAGTGTAAATTAAGTTGAAAACATTTTTGCCATAATATCGTAACATGTTGTGTACGCATAGTTTTGGCTGACAGTATGTAATTGTTTACCTTATTGAACTTTATTGTGATGTGTATATTACTGTTTGCTGTTTTGTGTACCGAATAAAATAAAATAAAATGAAATGAAAGCGTTACACCAGTTATACAAAATATAAACAGAATACATACATAAATATCACCCGTTGCCCTCTTTCAGATGTACGGTGGTGCTGTACAACGTGCGCAAGAATCGGCAGGCTCACGTACTGAACGCGTCGCGCAAGAGCGTAACCTGCGTCGCCTTCTCGCCAGACGGCAGGTACCTGGCGACCGGCGAGTGCGGCCACGCGCCCGCCGTCCGCGTCTGGGACCTTCAGGTATACCCGCTCATTCAGCTGTGGATGGATACCTGTTCAGATCACGCGCGTTGCCGTTGCTTGGACAGGTTAAACTGTGGTAGGGCCACGCAACAGTTTTCACTGTTGCACGAATGGGCAGGTCCGTCCGGGTTACCACGGCCTCACAGAAGACCGGCGTAAAGTAGAAGTGTTACACTCCTGCGTTTCGTCTGATGAGTGAGGTAGCCGGGGCGAGTGCTAATTATCGTTAAGTTGAATTTTTAAAAAGCGTAGTAACAATTACAGATCCAGACAAACAGTTATATAAAATTTTACATTGTTAGTACATTATTATCGCGATTACAAATTTATTTCATATATAACTAAAAGTAATGTGTATTACTTACTATTGCTTAGGAAATGTTGTTAATAACCTGCTCTTTAAGAATTTTGATGACTCCGTGGCGAAGTTGCCAAGGTATTGGCTTCGGCGTCGGGGGTCGTGGGTTCGATCCCCACACGAGCAACTATTTGTGTGATCCACAGATAGTTGTTTCGCATCTGGGTGTTTATCCGCCTGAAATTTATGTTTGTAAAACGTCCTTACATCGCAGGGTAATGTTATTTTAAAGTAAGGGCAATGGTTTAAAAAAAAAATACTGCTTTCTGTCAACTAATACTTTCAGGTCACGCATTAAAGCAAGATATTAATATAAGACGTATTATATATTTAATAATATGCATTCAATGTTTTATTAGTTACTCTATGCAAAATATTTATGTAAATAAAATTCGCATAGCGCCATCTGCTGGCGAATAATGCGTTGTAATTTATCAAGCAGCGCCACCTTGTAGCGAATAGAGTTGTTATGAAATATATTCAACATTTTGCAACAATGCGGTAAGTACCTAAGTATAATTGTTTTTATTTTCCTTTTCCAGGATCCGTCCGCTTCGGGAGCAGTGCAGATAGCGGAGTTTCCCGGACACACGCACGGTGTTAATTGCGTTGTAAGTACACAATTTTGTTGTGTTTAGAATAACACTTCATACATTATTGTATACGAACAAAAACTATTTACCCTAAACGTATATATAAAGGTCATACTATTTATTAAATGGGATCAAGAATAATGCACTTCTTAAAAATATTTTTTTTTGTTTTTTCAGGCCTTTTCGACTTCATCGAAGTATCTAGTCTCAGTCGGTTCCCAACATGACATGATCGTAAATGTTTGGGACTGGCGTGCCAACCTAAAGCTTGCGAGTAATAAGGTAAGATTTTTTTTTTGCTAATGTATACATATTAGTAGAGATAAAAAAAAATTCTCATCGTTTCCGGCTTAAATTATGTGTACACTTCTGTAATATATTTAACGAGTATAGGTAAGTATCTTTAGAGGCGAAAATTTATAAAATGTGTCTCATATGCAAGGCATATCGTATGGAATTAGTACGAGGCTAAACATCATTTATCTTATACCTATGTCAATTTTATGTGTGTTCAACACATATAAACTTGATGTATTAAAATTTTACGCAATATATTTTAAGGTATCGTCGCGCGTGAAGGCCGTCAGTTTCTCGGAGAGCGGCAATTATTTCGTGACGGTTGGCTTTCGGCATGTCAAGTTCTGGTATTTGGAGTATTCGAGGAATGCCAAGGTATGACATTTGTAAGAAGAATGATATTACTAAGATTAACATGACTTCAATTTGACGCAAATTCTTCTGCAAATTTTAATGATTTCAATTTTCAAGGCTCGGTCCGATGTATTGTTAAGAAAGTCGTTTATTTTACATGTTAGTTATTAGTTAACTTCATAACTTACTAATTGAAAATTGTGGGTGATGTATTTATAATATTGGCTTAGTCTGATAAATATATCCACTATTGGGAGAATTCAATAAAAGTAGTGAAGTACTAATTGAAACGAGGTATACAAATAATACTGAATATATTCCAATGGTGAGATGACAGTTTCCCATTTAAAATTTTAAATGGAATGCAATGTTTATAATATGTTACTTCTGTAGAAGTGAAATATATACATATAGTCAATTGATAACTCATATACTGAATCTCAATAGTTTGTATCGGAAAGGTTTTCTACACTGTTGAATAAAAATAACGTTCTTTCAATGATGCCTTCTTCGCAAACTGCGTGGGATGGCGCTAGTGTCGCTAGTGGCCCTAACAAGCATTGCTTTCGCAGTTCAAGGAGCCGGTGCCTCTCATGGGGCGCTCCGCGATCCTCGGCGAGCAGAAGGACAACGAGTTCTGCGATGTGGTGTGCGGCCGCGGCTCGGCTGCGGACAGCACCTACGCGATCACGAGGGGCGGCCTCCTGTGCGAGTTCAACGGGCGGCGCTTGCTCGACAAGTGGGTCGAGCTGCGGGTGAGTCGCCGTTTTTATACTTGTTTTTTTTTCACGTATCGTTTATCGTCGCCTGCCAGTGCTAGCAGTCGATAGAGATTTATAATTTTTTTTTTATTGTATGTTATGCACTCGGCCACAGGTCGCGGCGGGTAAGTCTGGTTAGTTGGTTAGGAAAACACAATTGTTAGTCGTAGTTAATTATTAAATAGCCACAAATAAGCAAAAAGTAATTAATAAAATAATTGAATAATTAATAAAATGGTAACAAATAATTTATGACCTTATTTTCAAAATGAATTTTGGTCCCATGTGGTCAGATATTAATTTTAGACCTCCTTTGATATTACGACCTCCAGAGATAGACCTTATGGAACACAGTAATATTATATATTGAGTGAGCTATTTGACGTTAGTTTTGTTTTTATTGTTAATAACAATGTACTACAAAATTATAAGCAAACCTTGAAATCTTTAACTGTTACCAAAATTATAACGTGTTGTTTCACTAAGTAGTTGAAATCGTTCATCGTTCAACCATTCGCAATTTCCAGACTACGTCGGCGAACTGCATGGCGATTGGAGCGAACTACATATTCGTCGGTTGCGCCGAGGGCATTGTGAGGTGCTTCGCCCCCGACTCGCTGCGGTACATCACTACGCTGCCGCGCACCCACTACCTCGGCGTCGACGTGGCGCAGGGCGTAAATATCAAGTGAGCGGCGCTTTTCCTTCCTTTTTCTGAGGTTGACAAAACTTATGCACCTCTTCAAGTGTTGTATATGTACATTCGCAGCGGCCGCATTCCGCCTGTTTACTTGCCAATTTTTTACATAAAAAATATAAATTTGTTTTTTTTTTAAACAATGCCATTACTATAAGATTACATGATCCTCTGTTGTAAGGACGTTTAACAAAAATAAATTTCAATTTTACAGACTTATAGACGAATAGATGTGTAGCAAAATTTGCAGTATCCTGTGTCCATAGCAAGGCCTTTAATCTGTGGCCTTTGAGCTGTAATATACAGGTGTCATTTTATATTTCCAGCCACATGTTCACGCAGCCGGCGAACGCGCGCTACCCGGACGCTATCGCCCTCACGTACGACGAACGCAACCACAAGCTCACCTGCGTGTACAACGACCACAGCCTGTACGTGTGGGACGTGCGCGACATCAAACGGGTCAGTGACGATCAGAAACCCCATCCTCCTCCATTACACTCAAGGAAGATGTTAATTAAATGGCAATAGCCAAAAGTGCTTTGTGCGATTGAAGGAAAACGTCGCGAAAGCTGAACATTGTCACAACAGTAATGAAATCTATATATAAAAAATTATAAAATATTCCTTGAAGTACGAGGATGGTTCTAACGGTGAGAAAAATTTAAAAAATTTGCCTGAAAAAGTCTAAAAATACTTGAGTCAATTTGAACTTTAATACCATAACAAAGTTTAAGTATTAGTGGATGTGTTCCAGGTAGGCAAAACAATTGAGTGACGTTAGTATTGTAAAAAATTATAAAACGAAGTCGTCCCGCTGTCTGTCTGTCCCTATGTATGCTTAGATCATTAAAACTACGCAATGGTTCGATAGAGCGATTCAAGGGTATGGTTTATATGTATAATACATTACACCCGTGCGAAGCAGGGGTTGCTAGTAATAATATAAAATTTTAAATTTTAAGTAATTTCTAGATACAAAAAAAAACTCAAAATTATAGCTAAGAAACATCTGATTCAAGTTTTCAGCTTACAAAAAAAAACCCCAGCCTAATCGGTCCATTCCTTCAGAAGCTACGATGGGACAGACAGACAAACATACATAACCACCGTCTATTGACATTTGCAACACCCATAGTGTAGCAGAATCGCTGCCACCTTATAATAAAGTGGGCCTCGGCTACCTCACTCACCAGAACTTAGAACACTTCACTCCACCCCAGTCTCCGATGAGGTTGTAGTACTTTCCATTCCATTCATGCAGTGAAGTTGAGCTTTTAACAAGTAAAGTGAGACATTTAGACACTGGTTACTCTCCACTTTGCATTTAATTGGTTAAATATTCTTTTTCGATAATATTAACACAGTACACTTTTACTTTACAGGTGGGGAAGTCGCACTCGGCGCTGTACCACTCGGCGTGCATCTGGGGCGTGGACATGGTGTCAGCGGTGGGGGAGAGGCAGGCGGGGGGAGGGTCGCCCCTCCCCCCGGGCAGCTTCCTCACCTGCTCCAGCGACGACACGGTGCGCGTGTGGAACCTCAAGCCCGCCGGCCCCAACATATACAGCAATGTTAGTGAATGATGTCCACGTATTTACATAATTACCTTTTATCGTTACAAATGGCGCAAGAGTGTTTTAAATTAGTGATGTGACTATAGCCTGCCTGATAGTCTTGCGACGCGTGGTCTAACTTTAGGACAAAAATCCATACTAATATTATAAATGCGAAAGTGACGCTGTCTGTCTGTCTCGCTTTTACGCCAAAACTACAGAACAGATTTAAATGAAATTTGGTACACAGATAATTTAGAGCCTGAGAAAGGACATAGGCTATTTTTTAATTGGAAAAATTGTTGTAAAGGGTTAAAAATATCTTTCTATAAAAATATATATAGAGCTTCAACGCGAACATAGCCGCGGGCGAAAAAGTAGTTAATAATAAAATGTTAAAAATAAAAAAGTTTTGCTATGATTGAATATGATGTATTCAAAACATTTTTCATTTTATTATATTTTAAGGCCAAGAACTTTTTTTAGGAGCTGAATAAAATAATATACATCGACCCTGAGTTGAAGTTCCTGAAGGATGTGGACCTGACTGCCACCAGCGATAAGGACAAATCCAAGACCTATGACGATAAAATCGGAGTCAGGTAAAATTTCTAGAATGCTTTTTGAATTCATTTTATCACCCACAAACCGTTTGTTGACGATTTTAAAAAATATTCACGTAAGCGTTGTACGCTAGTGGTCTATTAAATCAGCGCTTAAAATTGCACTAGGCAATTAAATTAATGGTTTTATTGAGATATGAATTATAGAAGCATTGTATTTAGTTACCACTAATTTGATGCCTCCATGGTGCAGCTGCCAAGGTATTGGCTTCGGCCTCGGGGGTCGTGGGTTCGATTCCCACACGGGACAAATATTTGTGTGATCAACAGATATTTCTTTCGCATCTGGGTGTTTTTCAACTTGAAATTTATGTACGTAAAACGTCCTTACAACCCAGGATAATGTTATCATAAAGTAAGGGCAATGAAAATGTTTTTAAAAAATAAAAATCTAAAGCTAGCTTGACAGCTTTTGACATAAAAAAAATTGATATACTCTTGTGTGCGTCACCTCACGGCGTGTGCGTGCGTTGCAGGTGCGTGCGCGTGTCGCCGTGCGGGCGGCACGTGGCGGCGGGCGACCGCGCCGGCAACGTGTGGGTGCACTCGGCGGAGGGCGCGCCGCTGCACACGCTCGAGGCGCACGACGCGGAGGTGCTCTGCCTCGAGTACGCGCCGCGGCCGCGGCTGCTCGCCTCCGCGTCGCGCGACCGACTAGTGCACGTGTTCCTCGTGGACCGCGTACGCATCTTTTTTTTTTTTTTTAGGGTTCCGCACCCAAAGCGTTAAACGGGACCCTATTGCTGAGACTCCGCTGTCTGTCTGTCTGTCTGTCCGCCTGTCACCAGGCTGTATCTCATGAACCGTGATAGTTAGACAGTTGAAATTTTCACAGATGATGATATTTCTGTTGCCGCTATAACAACAAATATAAAACAGAATAAATTATATGTTTAAGGGGGGCTCAACAGACATGTTTCTTTGCTGTTTTTATAGATAACGTTACGGAACCCTTCATGCGCGAGTTCAACTCGCACTTTTCGGTTTTGTTCTTCGAAGTATACTTTGACGTCTGGATGGAGAGTAGTGAATCTGCCTCTTGCGAAAGAGGGTGTGGGTTAACGCAACTAAAATGCTTCTTCGAGTTATATAGTGCCCATTTTTGCAGGGTTACCAAATACTGCAGACTTTGGACGAGCACTCATCCTCGATCACCGCGGTGCGCTTCCTCAGCTCCAGTTCTGGGCTACAGATGGTCTCTTGTGGTGCGGACAAGACCATACTTTTCAGGCAACTCAAAACCGTAAGAGATTTCGTTTCTGAAATATATTTCCGAAAACACAAATATATAAGAGCGGAATATAAACGATTATAAATTAATGAAAAGTAAATGAAGAATGAGTAGTATAAGTTGTATTAACAATGTGTCATGTTGTTAATGCAATTTATACTATTTATATCTAACAACTATCTTTTTGTTGAGACATAAATAGTCTCAAAGCTTTTATCCTGTACGGTTTGTAATTTTATATCAGAAAGATTGACTTGCTGGACAGCTGTGTCTTTTTCTTTCCATATTTAGTATGCAATTTTAATCTTAATATATGTTATATTAAATAATATAGTCTATGAATAACATTTTTTTTTACAAATTATTAAATTATTTTCAGACTCAAGATGGCAGTTACCAATTCGCGCGGGGGCAAAACGTTTCTGGACGCACGACGCTATACGATATGGAAGTCGATGCGGGCGGTCGACATATACTTACAGCTTGTCAGGTAATACTTGTATTTTTGGTCATTCTTTTAAAAGTTCTTGATTACCTAAATATAATGTCATAAATATTTTATAACAAATTATTCAAGGTTGATATCAGTAAACTAATAACACCAGGTGGTATTCAAATTAACAAAAATACATAATTGCCATGAAAAGAAAAATCACAATGATAATAGGTATTGCCTAATTGTATAATATAATTATTCGTTATTTTTTTTAATGTTTGATCTTTTATTTAGGTTTCGGTCTTAAGGCTAATGTAAAGTTTTTCATGAAACACAGTCAGCCTGCATTACACTGAGGCTAAAGCTTGTTAATTATATCAGTGCCATACAAGTATTTACACGATAGCAGTCAAGCATTATTCAATCTCTTATAAAAAAAGTATTGGCCCTAGCCAATATAATACTATATTAGTTTATTTCCATAGTTGGATTAGGGTTACTTATGTGTTTTTATTTATAGGATCGCAACGTCAGAGTTTACAGTGCTGCGCATGGAAGACACACAAAGACCTTCAGAGGTACAACTGCTGAAGATGGTACACTTATTAAGGTAAATAAAATATAGTTGCATAAATGTATCAATCCTTAGGCATCCTACACTTAATTTGTCAACCGATGGCAGCTTTTGGATTTATATGCTTAGAAAAAGCAAATTATACAAAAAATGTTAAACTGATGATTCCGGGGCGCAGTATTGCCAGGGTATTGGCTACACGGGACAATTATTTGTGTGACCTATAACTATATATTTAATAGATATCGGATCTGGATGTTTTTCCACATGAAATTTATGTTTGTAGTGTAGCGTCTATACAACACAGAACAGTGTACTAAAGAAAAGGCAATGTTTGCATAAAAGGAAAAAGAGAAAAAAAATTTAGATCTAGTTCATATTAAATATGAAATGCTGCGTCTATTTTTTAAATTATCGCGTTTTTATGATATCACTGTTTCAGGTCGCTTTGGACAACAGCGGCATTTACCTAGCTACCTCAAGCACGGACAAGATTCTCAGCGTCTACGATTATTATTCGGGCGAGTGCATGGCTACCATGTACGGGCATTCGGAGATAGTCACTGGATTAAGGTACTACATTTGGTTTGCTACCCTTGGTGTGATAATACAGGGTGGCTTTTTTAAGTGTATCCATTTTTTTTTATTAAACTCTAGACATAAATAATGATATACAAAAAATTATAAATATTTAAAATCGCTAATGATATATAAAAATGATAAATATTTAAAATCACTGGTAAGTAATTAATTACATTAATTTAAACTTATCTCAAAAAGTGCGTGATTTATACGCAACTCATTTATTTTACGCGCGATCATTCATAAGTAACACGCACACAAGTTTGTGCACAGTAAAATTTAGGTATTTATGAATGACTACCGCATTGTCAACACGTTCTGTTTTTTTAGGGAAAAGAATGGCATTTTTTTTGGAAAAAAAAACTTTGTTTTTATTTCAATAAACGCTTATACTACCGAGTCTGAACCTCCTGTGTAAATTTGAGCACTACTCAAAAAATCTCCCTGGATAATCGAACAATGTCTCAGAAAAAAATGTTTTATATCTTTGAAATATAATGAAGTTTAACACAACCCAAAGAATTCCTTAACCGGAAAATGATTTGTAACCAATTTTTATAACAATAAAGTATCGATGGAGTGGTGGCCGGAACGTAAGATTCTTTCTACATGTGAGATGGTATTATAAATGGCATACATTAGTTCAGTTTTACATAGTTTTGGATATTTGATATGATTTCCTACAATATCACCCATTTGTGGCCGTTCTATGGTGACAGCTTCATCATTTGTAACCTTTGGTAATAATAGTTATTAATAATAGTAATAATAGTTATTGGTCCCCAAGTTCGTGTGCTAGAGATGTATTAAAAAAGTATAAACAATAAATAATTACTGCTTTGCTTTCTATATCCATCTTGATTAAGTTTTACTTTGTGATAACTGCATGCTAACTGTGTTTACATGTTTTTTTTTTGCAATAGCTAATTTATAGTATCATATAAAAGGAAATAGAGAAAGAGCATAAAATGTGATTTAATTTTACAAATAACAATTAGGAATGAGTATTTGAAACGAGTAATGTCCCCTTTGTTGTAGAGAGATTTGCACTAAAAATAAAATTATTATTAAAAAGAAAAAGTGTATATAATTATGTATCTGACCGTTGATTTTATTTTCGGTTCTTTGTTCCGTTAATAAATGCTTGAGAAAAGGTTTGAAGTGCAGTAAAAAAACATCCTTTTCGAGGTTATTGACCGATTTCATCGTAATAGTTTTTGAGAGTCAATAAGAAAATATAATGCTTCTATATTGAATAAAGATAGATAAAGTATTTGAATTATTATCAAGGTTCACTCCGGACTGCCAGCACTTGGTGTCGGCGAGCGGTGACGGTTGCATATTCGTGTGGCGAGTCCCGCACGATATGGTTGTCACGATGCGGGCGAGGCTGGCGCAGCAGGCGATACGGCAGGGCAGGTGACTGGATGTTTCTTTATGTCGAAATGTCGAAAAAATTGAGTTTACAGTAAACCTGTCGCGGTTATGTCTCTAATAGTTATGTTTAATCTTTACCTACATAAAAATTTCTGATTGCTTATTATAGGAAAGTGGCGCCCTCTACGAACGGCGCGTCCGGCCTAGACAGCGAGACGGACTCGCAGCTGGGATCGCCGCCACGCGAGTTGGTCCAAGCCAGTAAATTCGGAACACCAGTGGTCGCCGATTACACGTAAGTGTCTCAAATTGCGTTGTTTTAGTTTGTGGATAGACATCCGCAGTAGAACAAAGGTAATCGACACAGCAAAGCGGTTTAGTAAACTGATGTGGCAATGGGCCGGTCATATATATCTCGAAAAAACGATAATCTAAATGGGGAAGAAAGATTTCTCGAGTGGCAGCCACGTATTGGCCATCGTGGTATGCGGGAAGTCGATGGATGCAGTTGGCTCAGCATCGTGTTTCGTGGCGGTCAGTAGGGCAAGCAGTGATTATGACGATGATGAAGACGTTGTCAAATATTTACATGAAGGCGGTAGTTATTAAAAGTAGATTTTAGAATAGATGTTTTTAAATCACATACGGTTTATACTTGAAATTGATTCGTTAAATACAAATTCAATCCGATATAACTCAACTGTTAATGATATTTTAAATTTAAACGGACTTGTTTCTTTTCCGGTTAAATTCAGATTGCGGATTGGGAAATTGCCCTCGTGGGCCAAGAAGAGCTTGGGCGACGAGCTTGTCGCGCCCGAAGCGCCCCCCACGCCCGCCGCGCCCGCCCCCCCAGCGCGTGGCAAGTGGGCTGCCAGGATACAGCCCGCCCCCGGTCAGTACCGTTCGCAATTTCGATAGCCCACGACGTATGTTTTTATCGACGCAAGAGCAAAACTTATTTGCAGTAAAAAGGGGTAGTAGACGTTCATATTCCTACGATCTATAATTTCGAAGTTAAAAAATAATTCAAACCTTTTAATAGAAAAAATCTTCTAATCCACAGCATTATTATCATTTTTACAATAGTTTAATTGTCATCACTTCATATACTGCTCAACTTTTAAAATGTGCAAGTTTTCCCATATAGTTGAAACATAAGTACATATTTAATAGGAATAACTTATAAGTTATTCCTTGACTACAGTCAGATCATTAGATGCACATTTGTAATGTTTGAATGAAATCATGGTAAATGGTGTATCAATAGATTTATTTCAATTTTTATTTGCAGAGAAACGGGTTGATTCCGACGGTTCCAAAGACAGCTCATTAGACAGTGGGACAGACACTAGGTATATTGAGAAAAGAAGAGACCAAAGCGCTAAGCAGGTATGCGTAGATATGTTTTATGAAATTTACCATAAATTTGTATTATAGTCAAATTGTTTTAAAAGTGTCAGCCATGTGAAAATGTCCTTAATTTGAGGGTTAGGATGTTAAGTGTTAGACGAATGCTTTCGTTCTTTTCTACGAAAATGTTGTATATATCAAAATATCATGTTATTATATATTTTGCACTGTAATATTGTTACATGCTGGTTTATTATGTTGCAATATTTTGATAGAGGCGGGCAACACTGTAGTTAGGTATCGCACGCCATTCAGATTCTCAAAACCCTTTTGATGTTTTTGTTTTTAAATAATATAGTAATTGTCACTAATTTGTTTTGTCTAATCACTCACTCAATGGTTTTGGTTGTGGTGACGGTTTATGTTTTATATCCTTATCCACAATGAATATACAAACCGAATCAATCAGTGTTGCAATTTTTACCATCCATTATAGATTGATATTATCTCATTTGAAGTGTTGCATATCCAGCGGTTGTATATTGATTGTGATTTGAACGAATCTCTAAAATTAATTTTGTAGTTATAATTTTCTTTGCTGTTTCATATTGATTTGTTATTTTTTTTTGTAAGTCGAGAGAAAATTAATTCTAGAACGATGAATAACATTGTTGACATCTTTTCATACGGTTATGGTCCCCATCACGTATGCGAATAGAGGCCGAAATCGCTCAACTTGTCACAGCTGCCGCGAGTCGAGGCCCTATTCCGTCACTTTGACGCCACTATGAAAACCACGTACGACATTTTGACAATATCTCCAAGAGTCGAGAAGGTTTTTGGTTTTTTTTTTATTTTTATTCTGTTTTGTTTCTTGTCTTGAGTTCGCATTTCGCGTCGACACTTGCGAAGCTTCTGTGTTGTATCGCTTCCGGCTCCACATATCACCGTACATTTTTTTGATAGACGTGGACTTCATAATTTATAGTTAAATTGGAGTTAGAAGTATTCACAGTACCTTTGAATTTTTAGTTTACAATATGATAAATATTTTTATTTTATTTTATTTACACAATAAACTTGAAATACTTTATAATATAAATATAATTAGTTCAGATTATTGGACGTAAAATTAATTTAATTTTCTTTTAATTTTTACTTTAATAAATCTATAATTATTTGATTTTGTTTTACTTCGAAATAAATTTTCATTTAATTATATCGTAAATAATTGGTGATAAGGCATTTTTGGATTAGATTAGATATATGTAATCTAATTTTAAAGTAGAATGTTTTATTTAGCTGTAGCATATTAGATAACATGTAGGTTATAAGATTTTTTTAATCAAAATAAGATGTAAATATTTAAAATAATACATAGGCAAAATAATTACTTAGTTTATAATTAAAATGATAATTATATAACGATTAACTGTACTAAAACGCATGTATCGCTTCCTCACATTCGTAGTGTATAGAACATTGGCAGAAATGTAGTTTTGTTCCATAATGCACATTTCCCTGTTATTTTTAAGTTTAATTTAAATATTTTTCAAGAAATATTGACTTGCATGCTTAAATCTTTGTGAATGATCCTCCATACCTAAGAAACATTTTAATTCATAATTCGCAAGACATTTGAATTCCGCCAATTAATGAAGACGTACTAAGAGATATAGCGTAATAAACACAAAGAATATCATTAACTTATCATAGTACGAGTGATGTACAGTCGTGTGAGAAGTACTTCTGAAACGATTCTTTTATTTTTCAACCGCACTGCATGTATCGCTTATACCATTGCAACAGTACGTGCAAAATGTTATGCGCCTCTGAGTTTCGCAGTAAACGTTATCGGGGAAGAGAGCATTGCTCTATAATGTGCGCGACAGTACAGAGCGTCGGCTCGTCTCGCTATCAATAGCTTGGGTATAGTTGTGCACATCGTGACGTGATCGTCCTTATGTACGCACGAAAGAAGTTATATTTCTTTGGCGTCAAAAAAATTATCTCGTGTGCCAGTACTTTTTCTTTGTAAAAGAAAAAACATTAAGTGCGGTCGATAACGGCTTAATTAAATAACTTGGAATGACAAAAAGTTGTTATTGATCGCTACGTTAACATTATGAAGCTGGTATTGCAAAAAGAAGTATAGCTTTAAAAATACATACAACACATTAGATAGGTTATAATACCAGCGAAGCTACCTCAACTCGGGCGCATTTGACTTTTGCGCGATCTGTGATAATGTAAGCTTTGATTTTTAATCTGTGCTATATGTACTTTGGTTTTTAATCGCTTCGCTTGCTCCCACGCTACGGGGCCGTTTCATTTTTGTTTGGTTTGCGTTTAATTTCGTTGTTTTTTTTTCCCCCGCTGTCCAATCAGGTTACGTTAAATATGTCCAAAGCGCGCCCCGCGGAGGCGCGCGTCCGCCACCATACCGACGACTCGTCTCTCGGCAGTTTTAAATACGAGGTTCGCATAATTTTTGGTTGCATCTTTATGTTTGTGTACGCTTTTTTCTGTTTGCTTCGATCATCGTCCCGTCGGTGGTTGAGTCGAAAACGGTGCAGACAGCGCTTTAGGATGGCATTAGAATCAGCCCTGTAGTACCGGGCTCGCAGAATAAGACTAAGGTATCCCCCGGCTGTCGTAAAAGGCGATTTAAAGGGGACGTTGAATTAAAACTAGGATGTCATTAGAAAATTGGGGTTTATTAAAAATGGAAGAACTCATCTTTTGTGTGTTTTGGACTGTCTATTAAACAAAACAGAAACCTAAGTCTTAAAATATGTTTTTAGCCGATACTTATTGAAATATAAGGTATACTATTTCCACGCACCTAGGGGTGTAAATGGGAATGAAGGCTCGATTGTTTTCCTTACTCACTCTCAGTGTTAGTTTGTAGTTGGGAGAAGAAAATGGGGTGACATGAGATTCACATTTCTTAATCTTAATCTCTCCACTTATTCAGGGTATATATTAAATGTATTTAAATTATAACTTGAAATATGTACTTTTATGTGCGGACCTTTATTTATACATTGAGAACATTGGTCCATACAGCGATTTTAAAAGACCCAACGCGCCAATCGCTTCCAGGATCAGGAGTCAACGGAGCACGATGGTGACATTGAGGACATTTCGGACGGCGAAAGGACCTCATCCTCCGAGAGGGGTAACAGGCCCACCTATTATCCTGGCAACAATATTGACGAGACGCCCGGGTGAGTCACGCTTGGCGTTTTTTTTTAAATTTACGTATACCAAGATATAAGATAACCGACCCGGTACAAGGTGGAACAGGCAAGAAGCTCTCCTGTCTTTTTCTGTTTTTATTTTAAATAATATATTTATACAAATTTGTAAACAAGGGTCAGGACAGCCAGGGTGCAAGTATAGAGAAAAAGTCACAGAATCAAGTCATAATACATTAGGGGACTTTTTACAAAATGTTTTGAAATTTTTTCACACTTATTTTGTTGTGGATGTAACTAATATAATTTCATATGTTAATACATGTACAAAGACGGAATTTTCCAATTTCAACCAGTCCAAACCTCGATATTGTTAAAAAAACAAAAGAAAAAAGAAAGGAATATAATTTTAACGGTATTATTAAAACACCATTTTATATATGTCTGGCTACATCGCGTGCATATTTAATCGACGCAGGGAGTTCATGGTGAACGCAATGGACGCCGAGGAACTTAGGCAGTCGGTGCGCCGCTCGAAGCGGTGGAAGGCGGAGTCGCCGAGACTAGAGCTGCCCCCCGTCGCCACTTCCCTCAGCGGCTCAGGCCACGACTCGGACGAGGACGAGGTATTTAATTAAAAAAAAAATATGAATGCAAATGAGTTAGGAAGCGTCCATGGGACTTGCTGATTGGTCATCAGTGATCCTTTTACGATGTTTTCCCAGTAAATAAATAAATATTTTAGGACACATTTTTACTCAACGTTCTCTAGTCCCAAACTAAGCAATGCTTGTACTATGGGTACTAGATAACTGGTAAGCACACTTAAAAAATATTTTTCTTTTTTAAATAAATACATATTATACATATACAGCGTGTCGTTACCATCGCGACAATAAATGAACACACGTCTAACGCTATGAGCCAATAATCATAAAAAATATTAACGTAAAACAAAATCTATAATTAAAAAAAATATTTTTCAAACAAACTAATTAAGTAAAAAAGAAACAAAATTTCTAACATCCTATACAACTCGCGCCACAGCGTCGTATTACAAGCCTCTCCTTCTAACAGTATGTTTTGTCTCTTTTAAATTCATTCAATCCATTCATATGCTTTGTGACCTTTACAAATGAACTTTACGTTACCCTTTTATAGGTAAGGGTGTTCTAAAATTCTTTGTTTTGGAAAATTTAATGACTCTGTAAATATTGATGTTTAAATAATTTAAACGTTTAATACAACTTTAAAAACTTATCCCCTATATGTGTGTTCATTTATTGTCGCGATGGTAACGACACGCTGTATAAACACCCAGACACTAGAGAAACACCACCCAAGCCGTACCACAAAATTGGAACACAATATTGGCAGGTGTCGACGCCCTCCGGTGACAACGCGGACCGCAACCCGCTCTCCGGCTCCTGCGAGTCGATCGACACGGCGGGGCGGCGCGAGAAGTATCTCAAGTCGGCCTTCGACAGCCTCAGCGGTGTTGAGCTGGACTCCACGCTCACTGGAGGTGAAAGGCACAAAACGAAACTAGACTGTAAGCGCTTTATGTTTGTGTTGCGTATCCTTTTTTCCGTTTTGGAGCCTTGCGCTATTGATAGCTTCATAATGAACGAGTTTTTTATTTATTTTTTTGCCTGGTTGGGTTTATAAATAAAGAAAACCATATAGATGTACACATTGTATACAATAAATAAATAAATAAGACCCAACCAGACGGAAGCCCTCGCCAGGGAAGACCGAACGGCACATTATTATCATTTTTATTATTATACTGAACAAGTCTCCTTTTGTTATAAAAAAATCCGTATAATTATTTAAGCTTTAGCAAAAGTATTACTTTACAAGAACGATATGTTCTTGTAGCTTTCTTACGATTCAGTATTTTTATTTCACATAATAAAATTCAAAACTCTCTACTCTTTCTCTTCTCTTATTATCGATTGACGTAATAATTGATTGGGCTAATATATTCCCCGTGCGTAAAGTTTGTTTGAGTTGTGCTTCGTTTGCAGGCAACACGTCACTCTCCGCTCAGCATCTGTCGCGGGCGCCGGCGCCCCGTTCCGATGCCGACGCGCGACGACGCGAGGAGCTGCAGAGGAGGATCCTGGAGACCAGGCGCCAGCTGGAGAACGTTAGGGAACTTTACTTTTTTTTTTAGTTTTCAAGCGACGATAAACTCGAATCTTTAGAATTAAACGGTACCTAAGTAAGAAAATCATCATTTCGACTGTATGTCAGAAAAATGACTGCCTTTTTCTACTGTTATTAAAACAATTCCCCTCCAATCACCGGTTTTGTTCTTAAGTGCACAAATCTTTATTATACGTTTACCAAAACTTGATATTTTATAAATACGTCACTATAATTCTAAACGCGCAAATTGTCAAGCGGTTCGCTGAAGTTCGTTTAAGTCATCGCGTTGTACACAAAACTTCACTTAAGTGTCGGACTTTCAAAATACGGCGTACCGTATTGCCCTCTCATTGGCACAATCTTATCATCTCGGTGATATACTAATGTGAGAAATTAAATGGTTGTATAAATTTATGGTTGTGTAATAAAACGCATACGCTTATCATGACCTCTCGTACATATAAATTATAGGTGATCTTTACGCGTCGCGTTTACAAACGTTAAAATATTAAGTTAGGATACAAAGTAAGGTAGAGACCGCTGTGACTAATAAAGTTTCAGTCGGTCTTTACGAGTAAGGGAATGGATGGTAGACTTCCCTAAACCAAAACAGACAAAGGGGAAATTATACTTTTACGGTGGTAGGGCCACGCACCAGCCTCGGCTGTTGCACGAATGGGCAGGCCCGTCCGGGTAAGTACCACGACCGCACAGAAGACCGGCGTAAAGTGGAATTATGACAAATACTTTCGCGTTTCGTCTGGTGAGTGAGGTAGCCGGAGCCCAATTCTCAAAAAGTTGTCAACGCATCTGTAAGCCTCGGGTGTAGCAGATGTCCATGGGCGGCGGTTTAAACTTACCATCAGGTGAACCGTCTGCTCGTTTGACAACTTTTCACATTAAAACAAAATACTGCAAATTTGGGGACTAACTGAGTGTCCAAAACATCAATTGGCAATATACGTAATGTGATATTGTTTTTCTACAGGTCGCGTTTCGTTCAAACCTCAAATCGAGTCAGTCCACTACGGACTTGTCCTATATACCGGAGAAGGACAATTCCCGTCGGAACAGGCCTGTCTCGATGGCAGTGCCAAGCAATACAAGACCTTATGGTGAGTCCAGTAAGAGTAATAAAATACATCAGCTTTAATATTAACATCTTTGGTGTAGCACTGATTAAGTATCTTAATCCGTGCTTTCCTTCGATAGGATAAGTAAATCTGCACAGCTATAGTTCAAAACAATTCAAGTGATATTCTTAACCTATTATATCAACAGCACACAAGTTTGCTTATAAATTTATTATTAATTTGTGAAAAATATATTTTGTATAATCATCCAGTGAATTAGGCACATAGTCAATTGCATTAATTACACGGTACATATGAAATAATTTGGTGGAAACCGCGTAACCGTTTTTGTGATTTGAAAAATCACTGTGACATGTTATTCTGCCACCTCTCTGCTTACCCTTACAAGGGTTACAGTAGAGTTTGAATGTATTTTCAGTGTGTAATTGACTATGAGAATATTGATCTCATCGACGTTTGAAATCACTAACATTATGCAATGTATTTTGAATTTATTTTGTGTTAATTGTACTAACAAAACGTATTAAATTTCCCCCCCACCATGCTGACCAGGAGTCTCGAATCTCCCCTTTTATCCCGAAGAGAGCTCAGACAGTCTTAACTTCTTCGACAGTCTGAATCCGTACCCGAATATGAGCTTGGACTATCGCAACAAGAACCCTTACGCCATCCCCGCTAACATAAATCACAGAATAATGCCCGAATACTTCGAGAACATTGCGCCATACATACCACCCCACGCTGGCGCGGTACAAAATCAAAACGACAAGAGAAACTTCAACTACGCGCCATACAATAAAAAGCCGGTCGTGTTCAAAGAACAATTGCCCCAAAAGCAGCAACCGCTTGCGTTCACCATAGACATCTCAAACAAACCGGTGCTATCCAAAGTCTTCAACAGACTGTTTCCAGCCAACGCAAGCGATGAAAAAGACACACCGCCGAAAGTGCCGCCGCGTAACTTTCATCTTAATTTGACCGATAAACCTCAACCTAAGTTGCCGAAGCCGAACTCTAGGAGCATATTTAAAAACTACAAATCGTGCCCTGTGTCACCCGTCTCTGAGGAGTGCAAGTGGGCTGATAAGGTCATGCAGAACAATCAAAACCAGAATAGCGGTAAGCCACAAAATGGCAATTCTGATCCGAAGAAAAGAAACTCCCTAAGTTTCTTCGTCGGCCTGGACAATCGAGCTAAAGAAAGCGGTAAAAGTATTGTTAACACTATAAAGAGCGACACGGAAAAGATGATAGCAGAAATTACGAGAAAGTATGGTGATTTAGACGAATACGAAACAAACGATCGGGGAGATTTAGATCTGCAACCTACGAGGGATGTCGAAGATAAAGACGATGGGAACTTTTCCTCCGACTCTCTGGAGGATTGTAGCCTTAGCCAAGATGTAAGCTGCAAAAATAAACTGTACTCAAAGAAAATTTGTAAGAAACACACAAAAGCCAACGCTATGCCCCGTCGTGCCGTTTCAAACTACGAGATTTATACTTCTCCATACGGTACTATGGAGAAGCCAGCCGTTCCTATCAAGCCGCCTTGCATAGGTCAGAAGAGTTCGACCCTGCCCAGGAATATGCCGTCGAACTTCGATGACGCTATGGATGGAAATTATACAAATAGCACTAAGAATAACATGTATAGATGCCAAAGCGTTCTAACTAAGCGATGCATCACGCGTTCTAATGAGTCCGTGCTAAGTGACAATTCAAACTGCTCAAGCGTGTCTAATGAAATATTTTTGAAATACGGTAACGAAGTCGCGTTCCAGCAAGCGAAATTCGACAGCCGATACAATCTAAACGATTCTCAAAATTGCTCTTTAGAGAATTTGAACGAACCCGACGACCAATATCTCGAAAATCATAGACACAGTAGCGCCAGCTTCTTCCTTAATCAGAAAAAGTACATGAAAACTAGTTGTAGCCAAGAGTCAATGCTATCGGATGAGATGTATTTAGACAATGATAATCAACTTTCAAGAACTAACTGTAATTCGCTCGAAAGTGTACTCTCAGATGACTCGGAATGCACTAAAAGTGCACCATTGGAAATGCTCTTCGAGGGTGCCAGGACCACTCGTCACACCCATAACCAGCCAGTTGGGGTACCGCGAAATAGTAAAAGTTGTTACGAGTTCGATAACGGTTCTAAAAGCTATGGATCTAGTCCTAACAACGTCTCGTATATGGGAGGTTATATGTATAACAATTATTTGGGTGAAAGTAGTTCAAATTATAGAGACGTCGTCGTGAGTCCAAAACCATCAGTTAGTAAAGTATATGGGTTCGAGGTACCAACTGTAGAGAATCCTAGCCATAAACCTGTGACGAGATCTAAAAGTTTATATGACTCTGCCTCAAAACAAGGTCCTCCGCCGGCAAAGAGTATTGCCTATTATTTTGATGGAAACAATGTACAGCAGTACGCAAAAGACAAAAAAAGCGCCGATGAAATACCACGTCTTAACACCGGTGATTATATGGCCAATACGAGCAAGTCTTTACAACCGAAATTTGCAGAAAAACATAAATATTTAAGTAAGATGGAGGGTTGTGAGCAGAATACGATGGTTAAGTCAAAGAGTTGCAGTTTTGAAGTGGTTTTGGAACCAGCTTCCAAACCGAATCCTCTTAAAAACCTCATGGAAAAACGTAACTCGCACGTACAAAAAAATCTCGAGAAATTTGAAGAGCAGATACGGAAGAATATTCAAACGAAAGTAAACAAAAACCAACTTAACAAAGAGAAAGCCAATGCTGTCAAATATAACAATACAACAAAGAGTCTTGAGAGGGGATCAGGGCAAAAGAATAACAATGTTAAAATTACTATGGAATTTGTTCCACACAAACCACCAAAACCAGTCAAAAGAACGGCTTCAGTAAAAATGAATAATCGCCTCAAGGCTGGTTTAGACAAAGGTACGCTGAGTTCATCTATATCGTCGCAGTATAAAGCCAAATTAGATGGCCTGCAAAATAAAAACTACAATTCCAATAAAAAGCAAGAAGACGCTAATTCAAATAAGGTTGACAACACAGATAGCTCTGAAAGATCATTTGATGTATTTGTTAAAGAAAGGGATATTAACGAAAATAAATCAGAAATACAAATGGACAGTTTAGAGGTGTATGCAATTCAAAGAATGGAAAGAATGCATCATGTTAGCATGGACTCTTTAGATGTAATTGATGACAGCCAAAACGAATTTTCTAAAGACTCTTTAGATTATTATTCTGAACAAGATAGAAAAAATGCTTCCGTAAAAACCACTAAAAATCATATGAACCGCAGAATTTCGAAAATTGATAATGAAATGCCGTGTCATAGTCGACAAAATATAGAGGCGAAAGAAAATATAGCTCCACAAGACATAACTGATGAAGTAAAGAAATATAAATATATTGAGCGTAAACTGGAAATTATTAACAAATTAGTTGAAATGGAGGAGCGAAAGATACTACAAGAGAAAATATTAAAGGAATGGCGAATGAGACCACTTAAAGCTAATATAAACGACGGCAAAGGCGTAGTGAAGGTTTTATCGAGGAAATTTGAAAAGTTGGCAACAAAACAGAATACTGTGTCGAACTTCGCATCACTCACGTTGGATGAAGCTGACACCGATACTGACACGAATTCTGAAAACAAGGAGATTAAGCGGAATCTCAGTCTCCCCGACATACTTGATTCAGATCACATCGGTGGCCTAGTCACTGTTGACATTGAGGTCAGCAACGACGCTGGCAACGAAGCGATCGAATTAGACCACACTGAATCTGCCCAATTGAATAACACGGTACGCAGTGAACTCATAGCCGCACCGAAGTCCTTGCCGCAGCGAGTTTACAATGAAATGGTGATACCGAAAACAGACGTGCACTTGGACAGTGAAAATTACGAATCCTCGACAACGAGTTCTAGTTGTGCGAACTCGCCGAAAAGACTGTCAATGTATGGCTTCCACAGGCCTAAAGTGCCGTTGAGGCGGATAATTCGTGTACCCGGCCCTCGCTTTTGCACGGATAACCATACATTTTCGTCCGAATGTAAAATAAGACCGGTGTTGGGCTCCGGGGGTGGCGCAAGGAGTTCCTCGTGTCTGTCTAGAAAGATGTCGTTCCAAACTCCGGTCCTGCCGTCGAAATTTTCACCAGTGCAAGGTTGGATTCGCATGTTTGAACGAGTTCGCTTAGTTGTGACGGTGGTATTTATTTCGCGCTTCTTTTTTTTTTTTACGATAAATTGTTTTCTTTTAAAAGCGGCAGTTTTGTTCGAGTCCAGATATGTTTTATGTTACACTGTTTGTGATACTTTGTGGGGCAACCAATGTCGTTATTTTCAATTGATTTTTTAAGCACTGGCAACCTACACAAATCATCGCAAATCGCTTCTTATGCCGTATTTTTCGTTCGGGCATGCTTTTATTAGTGTTCGATCAGCGAGTGTATCCGCGGTCAATGCATGATGATGCGGTCCCGTAGATATAATCTTAACCGGTGTGTTCGCTTTACGCACAACGATCTGGATATCTGACACCGCGTTCTATTGTGGACCAAATACTTACGATAGACCATCGAGATCTATGTCCAATTGGATGTTCAGACTTTGCTTGGCCCGCATGTGACTTACTTTGTGTCCGTGTGAACCAGCGAATCGCACGCACCTCTCGCCGTCGGACCACGAAGGGGAAGCGACGGGTATGAGGCGGGCGATATCCCTCTCCGACCTCGCGAAGCCGGTGCCGGCGCCGAGGACGCCGCAAGGTGGGTCCCCCCAGGTCCGGTTTAGGTGGCGGCTCACTAAAAACGACATCAGCACCGGCACCAATGTAAATACTTTACCATTGGGACTTTACTAGATCTAGTAACTCTCGCTCGATACAACGTCATACATGCGTCTTATAACCACGGTAAAGGTTGCACATGACATCGTGTTTTATTCTCTCAGCTCTTTCATTTTATCTTACATATTTCGATTCTATTTATTCTCTCAATTCTTCGATTAAACTTACCTCTTTCGGATTCTGTTTATCTTATATATTAACATAATGTTTTTTTTTTTTATTTATATTGTGTTAGGGCCACTCAGCAGCTTCCACTGTTGTACTGAGGCACGCACATTCATGGAAGTACGTCGGTCTCACATAAGACCGGAGTAAAGTGTATCATACTTTCGTGTATCGTCTGGTTAGTGGGGTAACCGGGGCCCAATTTTTAAAGGTGGTCAACGCAACTACAAGCCCTCGGGTGTTGCAGATATCCATTGTCAGTAATCACAACATCGGGTGTATGCGGTACATGCTCGCTTGACAACTTTTCAAATAAAAAAAAGTATTTACGCGGATGTTATAAATTTTAATGTAACAAGTTTACTAGTAATGCTTTATGATCCGTGGTCGAAACATCTGCAGTAAAAACCGTGAAGTAGTTTTTTTTTTTGTAAAAATTCATAAACATATATTAAATTCTCAATCGTGTTCATTGTCAATGGATAATAATTATAATATACAATTCTTAACCGTCGTAGTATCATAAATATCATTCATTAATATTAGTTAGTTCAGTTTGATTGTCATCCTATATATATATATAATGAACATTCATTCATACATTTGTTTCCTTTTCTTTTTCAGATGTTATTCATCTTTATCTAATTTTATAGTATTTGTAACTGAAGTTTTTATTATCACAACGCTGAATGCTTTTCGCTCTTTAATCGCATGTCTGCATTTTGTGTCGCCCGATAGCTTTTGATGCCATTCTTTAACGTTATAGAATAGTCATTAGTTTAAATATTTACTTAATTTTGTTAAAATAATTTTGAATATTATTTTTTCGGTGTCAATAATTAAACCTTTCATACATGAATTTCACTTAACTAAATTTAAATATAATCTCAACACATTTCTTTTTCCGATGTACCAATAATTGTCAAACTCTTAATATGGAAATGAATAACAATGTCGATAGATGAAACTTTAAATTGTGAATTTCTGTAGATAAATGAACAAAAACTAACACTGAGGTATTCGAACCTGCCACCAAATTTCCAAGACGCAAGTTCGAACATAGTACCGAAAGTATTCTTTCATTTGTCCACAGAAATACACAATTTAAAAAAATATCGCTCGATCTTAATTTTTTTATTCCATCGGTACAGCCGCCTCGAAAGCGACGACGCCGGCCAGTGCGAACTCTAGCAAGTCGCCCAGCGGCTTCGTGCGGCCCGCGCCGCGCTACAACAACAAGTCGAACATGACGAGGAGCTCTAGCGTCGGCGTGCTGAACAACCAAGTATTTCTCGTGACCATTCCATATATTTACACGAGTATTACACGGTACTTCCAGTCAGATAATAGCTACCGATCGAGCCGAGGTCCGGCCCTCTCGGGCACCCTCGAATCGGAATGCTAAACGCGTGCTGAGTGACAGCCCAAGCCGAGGTCCCCTCTCGGGGACCCTTGAGCCTGATCACTCCATGGAGCGCCCGCCAAAGCGCCCTAAGAGCTTGGCGGCCTCCCAAACCGGTGATAATAATAGCGTGACGGCCCGAGCCGAGGCTCCCCCGGGAGCACTCGAGCTTAGTCACCATAACGCGTAATAATAATACGTCGAGATTCAGGCTAGGCGCTTCGTGCGCCAGGCCACCTCAAGCCCGTCGGAATTGTAAAGGCCCCTAAGGCCAACAGTGGCTCATCCAGCCAAAAAAAAAAACATAAAAAAAAAAACGCTACTAAACTAGACTGTAATTGGTAGGGCCACGCAACGGCATGTGTTGCACGGATGTGCAGGTCCGTCCGGGTAAGTACCGCGACCTCACAGAAGACCGGTGTGAAGTGGAAGTGTTACACTTCTGCCCACTTTGCACTTTGGTGGCAATGCATCTGCAATCTTACGGGTGTTGCAAATGTCAATATGGCTTATTAAATTCGCTTGCCACGTTCTCACGTAAAAAGAAGATCGGCCACCATATAAATAATTTCAAAACGGGAATCCCGAATTAACAATGATATTCAGACATCTAACGCCCCAGTCTACCTAGCCTATACATGTCCCACTGCTGTGCAAATGCCTCTTCTATACCGAGGTTATAAGGACATAGTTCACCACGCGACCCCACTTCGGATTGGCAGACTTCACATATCTTCGAAATATCATTCGTCATTTTTTTCGAATACTGGCAACTTCCCCGCGATGATTTCCTTCACCGCAGCGCACGTGATAAGTCTGCGCTAAAAATTGTCAATCGGTATTTGAACTCGGATTGCTCGAGTATATCGAATTAAAAGCGAGAGCCCGGCCCACTGAGCCATCGCGTCACTAATGTTATTTATTTTCAGAGCGACTCGGAGTCAGATCCGCAGCCTACTCGGCAGCAGCCATCGCGCTCCCAAGGCCTGATGCGGCCTACCATCAGTTCCATGAACAAGGCGGCCGCGAACACAGCCAGGCGGCGGGGCCTAGCTAACTCTTACAGCACAGGTGCGCGTAAATCCCACAGATTTTGCGTAACCCACTAATTGTATGATTTAAATCCACTGTAGTTCTAAAAACGTAACTGATATTAATCAATCACAATCTCGATAAACTAGTGTTTTGATTCATTGAGATTGAAGTGACAAATAGATTTCTAAAGTACTTAGAAAACTCAAGTGACAATATCCACTGCCATTAACATAATTATGTTTTTGCTGCAATTAACTAATGAAACTATCTAACGAGTCCCAGTAATACAGCACCTCATATCGGCCTTTGTAACGAGCAACGTCCACGCGATTCTCGTACCTAACGCGCACGCTATAACACCCAAATTGGCACAGCGAGCGTATCGACGGCCGCGCGCGAGGAGTCCAGCTCCGAGGCGGAGGACAGGGCCGGCGAGCAGCCCACCGCCGCCCCTCGCCCCAGGGCTGCCTCCGCCGACAGGGCGCAGAGGAGGATCGGTACGTGGTGACGAACGCGGCCCACCGTCGCCCGCCAGCCCTATCCCACCTACGAGGGGTCGGCACAACACCCGGCTTTGTTGTTAACCCAACCCTTCCGTAAACATCCAGATCCAGAACAATCATTTGCTGGTCACAAATGTTTTAAAACGCATTAGCTCAGTGTCCGGGCTCTCGATTTAATTCAATTGATGAATTAAATTGTTACTTGCAATTGCAAGTGTTGTGTTATCACGTGCTGGGGGGTGAAGGAAAGCATCTCTAACCAGCATATTTTCCAAATGATATGTCAAGTCGCACATTCCGCAGTCCAAAAACCCTTTATACGTATCACTTAGAAAAATTGACACCTAGGAAAAATATATTAAACCGTTATCTTATAGATATAGAAAATAATTTTGCGTTTATTTACGTTGTTTATTTTTCAATTCGCCTTTGAATTTTACATTTTATAGTTACAATTTTATCGAATTAAAAAAGTACAGTTCAAATGAAGCGAACAAACTAGTTCCATCGTAAATTTCATAAAAATGCAATATGATCAAATATATATACGATTCAAACTTAATATAATATAGGTCGCAGTGGCAGCGAAAGGGACTTGTCGGCGAAGGCGCGAGAAGTGACCGCACGGCTGGCGACCAACTCCCGCCAGAGGAATAAGCAGGAGACGCCCCAGGAGCAGAACCGTAAGGATACGTTTTTAATGGAAATATTAAAATTTGTAGAATGTCGCAACGTGTTTCGGCGCCGTCGGAATAGAAGCCACGTCTTCCGCATTAACCACTAAGCTTAACGTCTGATCGACACGTGGACGAAAATATATATTTTATCTACATTGTTTTTGAGCATTTTAGGAAATGGATGTTTTTATTTTTGGACATTGAACAATACATAGTTTCGAATGACAATTAACTGTTACACTACTAGTACCTATAAGAAACAAACAATTTGTCTTGTCTAGTCATTAACAACAAATTGTACATCCAACTTATTAGAAACGGTTATGAATTGCATTTGTAAAGCCCTTGAAAATATAATAAATGTGTTTTTCTAATTTTACGGATTTTATTAGTGACGATCTTTCTTATTTCCTTGAAAGGTTTTTTTTTTTCGGTGTATCATTTAAATGTAACCCTTTCCAGTGTCACCTTCGCAACTCTGCTCGGCACTGACGGAGCAGTTGACGAAGACCGCCGGCAAAGTGGTACATTTGTACAGGAGGCTGCAGAGGGAGCCAAACGCCGCCGCCGATATAAGTGGTGAGATTTTTTTTTAGATTTTATGGCTCGTTATCAACTTTAGGCCAGCACATATAATATAAGTGATGAGTTTTATTCTTTCGGGCCTATGCTGTAAGGTCACTCGGCAGCTTCCGATGTTGCAATGAATGGGAACGAATGGGAACGAATGGACAGACTCGTCTGGGGAGATACCTAGGCCTCACAGAAGACCGGCGTGAAGTGATAGTATTATATACAGTATATCTCCGCGTTTTGTCTGTTGAGTGAGGTATACGGGGCAAACTTTTTTTTTAATTTGGTAACACATCTACAATCTCTGAGTTTATTTCACTCTGTTTAAGATGTCCTTTGTTTATTATCAACTTTTTTTACCATAATTCTGTCAGATTACAAATTTTGTAACTCATTATTTTAATGAATATTTTCAAGAGATATGAATAATAGCTCCACCCTGAAAAATAAATGGCCATAATGATGCTCGGCTACACTTGTTTTCTCTCAATATAATAACAAGTTTATTAATTAGACAATCAACTTGATACAACTATAAGTAAATGTTGAATACATTTATTACTATCCAAATTAGCCCAATATAAAAATAAAATATTTCGTTCACCATTTCCTAACAGGTCTAGAAGCGGCCATACTGGAGACTCAGAAAGTGCTCCGTAGCGCAGTGATGCGCTCGCAGAATGGGGGCGAAGCCCTAAGCAGCCTGTCGTCCACCGACGGCGATTACAGAGGCCTTAACGTGGACTCGACCAGGCAAAAGTTGGAGAACCTTGTTTCTAAAGGTATGCTTTAACTATGGTAGGGCCACGCAGCAGCCTCGGCTGTTGCACGAATAGGCAGGCTCGTCCGGGTAAGTACCATGACCTCACACAAGACCGGAAAGTGGAAGGTATGACAAATACTTTCGCGTTTCGTCTGGTGGGTGAGGTAGCCAGAGCCCAATTTTCAAAAGGTTGTCAACGCGTCTGTAACCCTCGGGTGTAGCAGATGTTCATGGGTATTCACTTAACATAAGGTAACCGCCTGCTCGCTTGTCAAAAATGCAACTATTATTGCGATGATGACTCCGTGGCGTTGTTGCCAAGGTATTGGCTTCGGCGTCGGGGGTCGTGGGTTCGATTCCCGCACGGGACAACTATTTGTGTGGCCCACAGATAGTTGTTTCGCATCTGGGTGTGTGTCCGCGTGAAATTTATGTTTGTAAAATGTCCTTACAACACAGGATAATGTTATCCTAAAGTAAGGGCAATGTTTTTTTTTAAAAAAATGATGATCTATAAAGTACTTTTATATCCCTTGTCATGTTATTGTTTTATCGACATTGTTTTTTCGCATTTGACCATTTTTCTAAAAGTTTTAATGTTCATAAATGCAGAGATTAGCACTATAAATATTTAAAGAACAAACGGCGAAACTCAAACGTAAACGTGTTTCGCAGAAGCGACCGCAGCTGGTAACCCGGCGATGTCTCTCATCGAGCAATACTCCGACATCCTACTTAACATGATGCAGAGCAAAATGGTCAATCAGTTCTCACAAAGCCCACAAAGTCTGCCGCCGAACACGAGGGAACCCGGCGACGAGAGCTAGTATACGCCTTTCGAAATGTGATAACACTATCGTAAGTGACAAGTGTTGAAAGCGAACAGTGAATGCGACATAATTCTTGACTTTTATAACTAAGCATACAGTTACCGAAAGCAACGGATTGAGTATTATGTAGTCGTGAATAATAATCATATATCAGTAATATCGATAATATTATAAAATGACGCATTGCTATGATTGAACTGTCACTAATAAACTTTAAAATCTAAGAATTGTTACCTTATATTAGTAGTACATGTTGTGTCTGTTCAAATATAATTCTGGAAGTAAGTATAAGTTTACTTTGTTGAGATGAGAAAATAAAAATTTACAAACGCTTTCATAATTATTTTCACAATCAATTTTGAAGGTATTGTTTGATTCATTTTAAATTTGAGAACACTTAGTCATTAAAACTAATTAAAACAATAATAATATTACCATTTTAAAATGTTCTAAAATATTTTCGTCTCATCGTAAATTATTCAATACATCTTTTCCATTTAATTATTACAAATTAGATGACATGGAAAAATGTCTCATTATATCTGCATTCTGCATTTCATCATTCTTTCTTTTTATTCAAAAATTCAGTTCAGAAATTTCAGTTCAAAAATTAAGCCTCACTGTAATATTTTACTACCAATATTATATTGTTTCCTTTATATTGCTTGTTTTAGGTGTAAAGTGTACTATTATATTAATTCTGTCTATCATACAACGTAATTATAATAGTGAGATCAGCACGCTTCTTACCTGATCCAGATTGTAACAATTTACTGTCTTCTTTTCTGGTTCTAGTTTGTTGTCTCAATCTTATAAGAGAGTTGTATAAGTGACATTTTGCACAATACCTACCAATGCTCTTTTCCACATCAAAGGAATTGAAAGAAATATAACATTTAATATACTAGCCCAACTGTTAATGTAGTATGATAATAGATAGGTCTGGCACATGGAATTGTTTATAAATTTCAGTCAAAGTAACCAGTAAAAAAATCAACTTAGAATTATTTTATTTACAACCTATTCATATTATGTCAATAAGTTACTGTCATTTAATGAATAATATGAAAATAACTTGTGTTGTATTTTTATGCAAAAAAACTTATTTAAGTAAAGTATAAGGCATAGCATGTTTTGTAATGTCCTATTCGTCTTCTTCTGATTTCACCATTTCTTCTTATTTTTTCTAGATATGTGATTTTTCTTAAACCTGTTTGGTAGTAAAATTTTCCATGGTATTGAAAAAAGTGTAATTTAATAGTAATAATTTACATATCAGCAAATATAGCTTTGAGTTGTCATTTTTATACATCTTATACCACTAATTTTGTTAATATTAGAATAGCAGTCAACATTTTATTATGTAAATACTACTTGTGTTTTTACTTACTATGTTAATAACATGACAACGATTGCCTTTGCCTGGTTGAAGGTATTCCTGGAAAAAACAATGACCATTACTTGTTTTTCAGTAATAGTTTGAAAAGTATTTAAAATTTATTAGTATGTGATGCTTGATAAAAAAATATTGATAATCTTAACATTATGTAAAAAATAGTAATTTTTGATGTTATAACTGGGCATTCTTCACGAATATAATATAAACTGTTTAGCAGTTTAAGCCTTGAAAGTATTGTACTAGATTTTTTGACAATTTTCAAATGCGCAGAAACTATTGTATCATATTTCTCAAAAGGTCCCATGATCTGTCTGCTGTAGATAATTTTTTTTTTTCTATTATTTAATGTTCAAAATTATATTGCCATTTATAAAAAAGACTAATGTTATTTTATTATTTAGGATTGATATTACAATTATTGAAGTATTTTATGTTTTTTATTTTTTTCTATGTAAGCAATTTAATTACTTATCACTAATACATTTATTCATTGTTCTATTTATTTAGAAATCAGGGGTAGATTCCATTCGGGCTTAGAACAAATTAGTTCGGACTAGCCTAAACTGGTTTATCCTATCGGGCTTGGGCTAAATTAGTTTGGACTAGGCAAAACTAGTTTTTCCTGAAATCGGGTTTAGCCGGTAACATATATACCTATATATTAGGAATTTACATTGATAACGATAGAATTGAAGTAAGGTAAGAAGTTGCTTAATTCTCGTACTGCAAAGTTGCTTGCAAACACAGTTTGTCAAATATTTTTGTATGTTGTGATTATCTGTAGCATGTACCCGTCATAATTATCAAGAACTATAGTATATACTATTATGCAATAGCTTCATTATTTACTCAATGTTTTTTATATAGTTTAGTTTAGATTTTAAGGTAATTTTAATGTGATTAAACAAAATCGTGTCAATGATTCAATATAGCCGTCTTTACATTTGGTAAGTGTGATTGTAGGTAATGATACCATTAGGTTTTAAATAAAAGTATGCGTGTAAGTGTTTGAAACTTTATACAGTTATTGAGGATTTGTAGTGTGTTCAAGATGATTATAGGACAAAACGAGTGAAGGCCGTTTAGAAATAAAAGTAGCATTTTTATAAATTAGCTAAAATGAAAACGATACGTCTTTGGAAGAATTGAAATTTTCGTTTTGTAGTTTGTGTTCGGGTTTTCAATAGAAAATCCTTTGATACATAAGCATCAGTCAACGTTGGAATTGCTAAGGAATGTTATAGTAGTTAATAATCTAGTAGTTCTCACTCGATAATTGAATAATTAAGAAATTGTTTTACATATTTTCTATGTATTATTTTATTACCGCATTGAATCTGGTCGGTGATATGTTTTATATATCTTTAAGAGTAATTTTCAGTTTTAATTATTTTATTTTATTTACTTATACATATAATGTTAGGTAACGTTAAGTAGCATTAAAGTGCCATTAACACCGAAAAATGTCGGTTGTTAAAACTTACGGGTGTTACAATTTGCTTGTTGATAATCTTGAGTGTTGCTGCAGAGGTAAATCGGACAAGCATTGAAAATCATTTAGACATGTCATGTCTAAATTAACGGCTTCATTTATGAAATAGTTTTATGTGCCCATAAATGAGACAGTTAACACACTTCAATTGCACAACAATCAATATCGAGAAATATACAATAATTGCATTTCCTGATAACTTATAATGTTGATATATATTTGAATTCACAGGTAAAGAGCCATTCTCTTGTAATAGGTAAAAATTAACTTACACTTTTAACAGTAATTTATGGTAAAAAAAGGTATTATTTTGTAGCCTGTGCTTTTAGTATGTAGCAGACTATACCATAACATTTGTAACAATTATAATGTGCTAATGCTAATATGCTATGTATAACTTTATTGACAGTTAAGGGCAGGAACTTTTGGCGGGAAAACTAAGAATATAACTAAAGGAAAGCTAACCTGTTTTTCGTAATTACCATGTAATGCTTTTAAGGTACGGTATTTGGTTTCTGGCATGTTGTGTTATTTTTAGTCATGTACAGTTAGTGAGAATAATCCAAACGTTTTTATGAGAAATATAAATTGAATAATCGATGCCCTGCTTTTTATTTCAAACCATTATCAAATAGAAACCGTAAAATGGCCGAAAGGAGATCTAAGATGAATTGTGAGCATGATTTATACTAACATTAACACTTGGAGGTAGCCGGCTTAAAGATCCCAATGATGTTACCGGGACGAGGCTTTTCAAGATAAGATAAGTGGGGCCGCGGTAGTGTTCCAAACGGAAATCCCGTGACCCCACAAGATGATGGCGACCACCGTGGGGTTTTAGTCGGTGCGAGTTCGACATCGCCTTGCTTCCCCATATGCGGGAGGCCTGGTATCCATAACGGATTACCCCACAAAAAGGGCTTAGCCCGTTTTGAGTCTCTTGGGCTATATCCCAATTACTCGGTCATGTAATCTCGACCGGCAATGACCGATCCCGGTTGTATCCCTTGAAGAGGGCATATCCCAAACCGCTGCAGCGATATAAATAGGGCAGATATGTTATTTATTAACGTGTCTACCTTTCACTAATATTGTATTTGTGTGGAAGGGGAAGGGGGGTTGCGTATTAAGTCGAAACGACCACTGCGACCTTGTAAGATGTTTTGTAGTCCTCCCTTCGAAAACACGGCTCTCTTAAAGTAGCGTAACATTATCCTGTGATGTAAGGTCGTTTTACATCAATTTAACATTGACAAACATCCAAATCAGAAACAATTATCTGTAGGTCAAACAAATACTTGTCTTGTGTGGTAATGATAACACCACAATACTTCCCTTACATTTCCAACTATATTTGTTAAATTGGTAAATACGTAGTCCGGCACTGGTTAAACAGCTTAGTACCGGCCTCGTATCTTTTCTTTTGTAATTGTATGCGTATAAAATCTATGGCCGCTTGAAAAATCTACCCGCTTGCTTGGTCCGTAAAGAAATAGAAATATTTTCTTACTCAATATCGAGCATACAAACAAAAAGCAGTTGACTTGCATATACAAGAAAAGTGAAATAGAAATGTGCTCTCACTTAATATTGAACATACAAATTACAAACCTAAAGCATAATTGCATTGACATGAAAAAAGAAATTGCGTTATTATCTTATATGGAGCACGTTAGTTGTTTTTTGGGACAAACAACTTACATAAATGTATGATTGACTAACTAAATAATTCAATATCTAAGTAGGTAATAAGTACAAAAGATTATGTTGCTTATATTTCCTACGAGACAAAAAAAAACAATTTTTAAATTTAGCATTGTGAGTTAATATTAAATTCATATTACATTTATTATTATTACAGGGACATTTAGTTGTTAAGCAATGAATTTTTAGCGAATTACGGGTTTTTTATATCGTTGAAGCGGACTGTGTTATGTGAGCTTTCAACTTGTTTAACTTCTCGCAGCAAACCCGTACGTAGTAACAGCTCTATGAAGGGTCGACGACGAGGCTTCCTCGAAGGCTGACGATAACTTGCAGCTCGTGTTTCTGTGAAAGAAAGAGAGATAGCTGATATTTGATCGCCCTTGGATGAACATAAGTATTACGGAATTCAACCGTCCAATTTTTCAAAGTATAAAATTAAAACATCTTATTAAGATTAATAATATCAAATGTTCACATTTAAAATATTAAGATTTATTTCGATTTCGGATGTTTATTTTACTTTAGCTGATGTTTTTAATTATAGCACACAGACTCCTTAAGCTTTTATTTTATCAATCGCAAAAGTGTCTTTTGCGATTGATAAAATAACTTTGTATAGTGAAGCCAGAACCTACACGCTTGATACGGCTCTCCACTTTTGGATAGGGCTGTAATTTTGTTAGCTGTATTATAATTGTTGCATGCTTGCAACTGTGGTAGGGCCACGCAGCAGCCTCGACTGTTGCACGTATGGGTACTGTGGTCGTAAGTACCACGACCTCACAGAAGGCGTCCGGGGTCCCAGGCCTGGGTCACCTTTTATTACTAACAAGCAGGTTAGTAATTACTTCTCATGACCTTGTTAATTATACACGTTGAATAGGGGGGGACGCTTTGATAAAACTTTGAGTTTTGTAGGACAAATATTTTTTCGGTTTATTTAGATAATTATCTTGGGAATGAATAAAGAAAAATTCAGTTAATAATAAATTTTGGAAATTCGTCAAATCAACATATATCACCTCTGCTAACCCTGTTAGCTACCGTTTACCAAAATTGTTGTAAGAATAATTTGGGCGTCTCGTCAAAATGAAGCTACTCACAAAAAATCTGCTTGTTAGTAATAAAAGGTGAAAATGGGCCTGGGACCCTGGACTAGTACTTATTTTGGGTAGCCGTGGAAACGACGAAAGAGAGTGATTTCGGTTTATTTGGACGACTATGAATATTGCTTACTGTTAGCTGAATAGGGAGTTTTCGTGACGGTTTGGGGCCCGAACTCGTAGAGGATCTGAAAGTCCGCGTGGTTGCCGAATCGAAAACCGAATCCCACGCGATGATCGTTGCCTGTGGAGAAAAACTATTAGTCATAATATTAAAGGGATGTGCTTTTAGTTACTGAGAATATTCTTAAAAATTTTTTGGTCTCTGAACATCGCAGTTCGGTAATTAATAATCAACATGGTTCATCATCGATTACATAACATAAGAAATTAATAGCTACCAAAGCATAAAATGCACGCGGGTAATTTTTTTAGCAAAAACAAGAATTTGACGTATTTTTTATGGATTTCTCATGTATTCCGGCGGTGATTGGCTCACGAAGGCATTGGCGCTAAACATTTTGACATAATCAACACGTATAAAATGAGAGAACTTGTATGTTTAAATCACGAACTGAACGTAATTTTGAACCGGGAGTTCTTTAAATAGCCTCTCTATTAAAATATAATACGCCTTCATACTTAACCCAATTTTAATCGTGGTGCGAATCCGTATATAACAGTAAGGCCAGCAGAGACATCCTCAGGTGCAATCTTGGCTAGGGAAAGAGCGACAGTCCCTGAAGGATAATGTTTGTTAATCTTCAACATAACAGTAGTGCATGCATTTTCAGTAAAACATATGTGCAAATAAATTAACTTAATCTATAACTTAATACCTAACGGCTGGGAACTAGGGCGTACGATCTTAATAAGGTCGTGAGATTGAGGTCCAGTGGTGTGAACTAACATGACAAGTTTCATTGTGAAAAAATCGTTCAATCTATATCTATATATATATATATATATATATATATATATATGAGATTTCCACCGATAATTGAGTCATCACGATATCTCTGGAACCATAAGGCGCAGAGACTTGAAATTTGGTAGGAATATTCCTTTCGCAGAGTAGAGGTCAGATAGGAACGGATTTTACAAAATTCCACAAAACAACGTTTGCCGCATCAGCTAGTAAATATATATGTCATTATAATAATTGTATTGTTATCGATTTGTAACATTTTGATGGTACGTGCAAAAATACAAATTATTCGTGTAGATCTGAAAGTGTTTAAAAAAACATTTAGGTTCTACAAGTTTGTAAAAAGTATTTCTTAAAGTTTTAATAATATTTTCTTATTGGCAACATCATATAATTGTTGTATGCCAAAAAGAAATCAATGAAAATGATATATACTCACATTTCATCAGTAGAATAATACCACATAATATAATGTTTATTTCACCTGACATACTTTGAACATCACAAAAATGGCCGGGTCGGTAGGTAGTGGTAGTTGAAAACCAATAAAATAAAAGACTAAAAGAGTTGAAAGGACATTGAAGACTGATGGAACCGCAGGTTGTATAGGGACTGTATGATTCAGGTCGCAAAAAATCGTGCCATTGTCGATTTGAATTCCCACGATAATAAATAATGATTATCTAATAAAAGACTTGAGTATTATCTGTCAAAGAAAAAAAATAAACAAAAGACGTAACATGCAGGCGTATATTTGTTTTTATTTCGCAGTATAAGTATGTTGCAGGACACTCATTGTAGCGCTTTGTTTATGAAAAATTTTTATATATATTTTTTCATTGTGTCCAATTTTATAATTAATAATACAATATCAATAAACCCATGCTATGAAATTTATTGACAAAATAGGTAAGATAAGGCAATTGTCAATACAAAGTAAAGTTGCTTTGGCGTGTGTCTGTTCAAATTTGGAATAAACTGACTTGTAAGTTTTCTCATTAGAAGTTCTTCAGTTTTTAACGTTGCCACATTTTTAATTTTAAATGTTAAAAGTATTTTCATAACTAGTAAAATATTGACATCATTATTTATCTTTGGAGATATCTATGGAGCAATACATTAAGGAAATATTGGAATTATGTGGAAATAACTCTTGTTTGTCACATGTATTTGCCGAGCAATGGCGAGCAAAGCAGGGTCTAAGTAAATAACCTTTAATTATAGGTACATTCATAAAAGTTGTGGATTGGTCAACACGATAACCAATAAAACAAAATAAAATATAATAAGTAAATAATAAAAATAAAATATAAAAGGTACCCAATAACAATCATGAAGTCGGTGACGCTTTTAGTTGTCGCGTATCGTAAAGATTCACTCTCATTTTTTTCCCAAACGCGCCAGGGGAAGCATAACTTAAAAGAAAATTGATTGAACCTTAAGTGAAGAAAAGCCACCAACCGATCAATGTGTCACTGGCCTCAAACGATATAGTATGCAATTTCGGGTAAAGTATAACTTGGCTAGCCACATCTTTGCTCACCATGGTAAATAGCATATAGGTCCAATAAATTAGAATATAAGAGTAGATATTAAACAAAAGACTGGGTCCTAAACACTTGCTGAAGACAAGCTAGATTTCAGATATCTAGGTTATTATTATAGGTAGTAGCAAATTGTTATTTATTTATATATATTTCAATTTATGTATATTTATCCAATTATTTTATATGCTATTTACTGTATATTCCTTAATTTTCATTTCCATATTTAATCTCATTATTTAAAATTTTATTACTCTTGCATCTTTTGCTGCATCTATCATAAATTCTCACCACATCCTGTGTTGAAATGATTAGTAGAGAATGCCATATGGCTTTAAGTCCGTTCTTTTTACCTGTTTTACTTAAGGTTGGCAATAAAAATTAAATTAAAAAATATAATAAAGTATCCATTGATACTTTGAGGCCTAATTTTATATTCTAGTGATAGTTGACTGTTTCATGTGTAATAAAAAATGTACGATACAAATTAGCTTATATTCTGGGCTTGTTGCTAATCGCATCTAATAGACGTTACATAACAAAAGATGTACTCTAAGATTAGCAATACATGTCTATAGAATATAAGTTTTCAAGGCTTTTAATATTCACGCAGACACACTGCTGAGAGCGTTACAAAACAAGAAGAGGTTGAAGATCGCTTATGACCACCAGAATTGAACTTCTGACTATTGGCCCAGTATAATATGGAGCGATGCTTTAACACGTGTCCACTGTCTGCTTAAACGCCTGCCCCTCTACAGCAGGTGTGTTATATTTCCACGTTTCGTGTGGTGAGTGGGGTAATCGGGGCCCAGCGGATTATTGATTGACAATTCGTCCGCAGGCCGTCAGGTACTGTAAATGCCCATTGGTGGCGGTAATCACTTAACATCAGATGAACCTTACCAACTTTTCAAAATAAAAAAAGTCAAGTAACAACTGGCGAAGAAAGAAAATATTAATTTGGGACAACAGCGGCACATTCCATACTGACTGTATTACGTGAAGTTATGTGCTTCATGTTTACCGGAATACCCAATACATTTTGTGAGAGAGTCTGTCTTGTTATCCGATGCTGAAGACCAATATATTTTCATATTTCATCTAGAATTTCGTGCTTCATTGCATAGTGCAAGTAGAACAAAATCATGGTTTCATTTGGAGAGCTTTAATAGAGTTAAACGACATTATTTTATCATTTTAAAACACTTTTTAATTTATGCATATTTATTTATTCGAAAATAAATGTACCTTATGGTTGCTTATTGTGAAACTGTACATTACTGGAACTTTAATAAAAAATAATATGCTGGTACTTGTGAAACACGAAGATAACTGTGTCTAATCCTTACTTCATACTTCATACTAATATTATAAAGGCAAAAGTTTGTATGTATGGATGGATGTTTGTTACTCTTTCACGCAAATACTACTGAATGGATTTTAATGTATCTTTACAATAATATAGCTTATACATCATAAGACATAGGCTATAATTTATATACATAATTTATGTATATCTGTCTTTCTGTTTGAATGTTACGCCTTCAGCCTATTCTTCTAGTCGCGGGCAGCAACTAGTATGTCTTAAAGGACAATGGCGAAATCTTATGTAGGAAAAAATTAAGCGTTTAAAAAATTGATATTCACGTTTCTAAATATAATTATTTTCCACGATTTTTCGGCACATTAACTTCAATTGTTAAACTATGTATAAAAATATGTGTTTATTAACAACTTGACTTTTTTGAGCTCTATTTTGGTTTCATAAGTTTGCGAGTAATTACTTATGACCAGGGTTGGATTTTACTGTAATTATAGTTTTTATACTATAATTTAATGCTTCGTACTATATACTATCCATATTTAGGGAAATATACTATAATATTGTTACTTTACATAAAAGATCAATATAAATACCAAACCAACATTAAAAGAGGTTTATTGGGTTGTAATAGCGTTGTAATGTTTTCAAGAATACAAAGTGGATATTACCTTAAGTCATTGTCAATTATTACCACGAATTATTTATTTATCAATGTTTATGGGGAATTCCCGTTAATAATTTTTTTCTATACTTTGCTTGTTGAAGAGTATCTTTGTACTATGAGGTAGGTAATAGAGTTCATAGATGTCTAATAGTAAAACTAATTTCCTAAACTAGTATAAAAATAAATATAATCCAAAGACGCCATTTAATTGTGTTGTGAGGCTATCAAAGATGGTAAAAAAGTGGAATTTGTACTGAATTTATTCCTACTCAGGATATGTTAAAAAAATTAAATTCCAAGGTTGAAACTAATGTTGAAGAATTGATAAACTTGGAGGATGAGTAAATTGATTTCTGTAAAAACAAAATAATAAAGTGTACTATAATTTCTTTTACAAATGATATCCTTTTCAATTTTTTGTACTATCTTTTTCATCATACCTAAATCCAATCCTGTTTTTGACATTGACATTTTAATTTGCACCAATCTGTCATTTATTATTCAATATTCACTGCTTTTTTGCCTTGTGTACTTGAATAAGATAAATGTGATTTTCCTATTTTTATACAACCCATATTGAATATCGGAGTCAGATTTTGCTTCGCTACGTATTGCCATTTGTGCATGCCCAAGGACTTCGATTGATTGCTTGGACGGCGACCTTAAGCTGTTACGTTGGACTATTGGATGTGCTTTAATATTTCGATTAGTTGTTAGTTTGTTTACTATTGTTAAAATAGCGACACGAATCCTGTGTATCAACTGCAACATATGTGTTAGTAAACTATTTTGTTATCCTGCCCTGGTGCACAATACAAGAGCCACAGCCACAGAAAAGCTGTTATAAATGTCAAATGCATTGATATAAGCCCAATTTTCAAAAGGTTGTCAACGCATTTGCAACCCTCGAGTGTAGCAGATGTCCATGGGCGGCGGTATTCACTTAACATCAGGTGAACCGTCTGCTCGCTTGGCAACCTTTCACATAAAAAAAATATATTATATATACAAATAATAAGTGGATATGGCACTAGCGCACGGAAACTGAGGCATTCAAATTACGCCAATTTGTGTAAATTGAATTACATTGAAAAACATTGCAACTTTATAGACTGCTATCTCTTTCCGTATCATACGTTCTATATCATCTGTCACATTCGCTTACATATGTCAAATAATGTAAAGCGTAACAATTTTTAAACGCCGCACAGTATAACCTCAAAATAAAAATATTGTAAATGTAATATCTTTATTGTTAGACTTTCTCCAGTTAAAATTCTTAATATAAAGTTGCTTAAGAGAGAGTAATGAACATTTTCAGATATTTTTGACCTCTAAACGCTAAAGTTTTATCCCAACTAAAGTCATGTATGGGAACCTGCCATTGTCCTTTACAACAGATATTTGTCTACAACGGCCAATAACACAATATTGTGTAAAGCGAGTTAAGTAATCGGCGATCGGTATTCCAATAAAAAAAAGATTTATTTAATTAATTACAAGGTGTTAACTGTATGACAATTTGGAAAGGACTGATTTATAATTACAAAAACTTATGAACTAAAACTAATGGTGTCAGCGTTCCTTCGATGCGCCTTCGCCGTGCTGAGTCTGCAGTAATCGCGGTTATGACGTGCTAACTCCTCCCTCCTTAAGATAGAAGCGAGAGTTGGAGCTTCTAGCAGCGTCCTCGCTGCTGTTGCTATCCTGTGGTAGTCTATTGGTTTTCCACTTGTACAGCTTCCAGATGGCCGCTACACTCAGCAGCCCGTATAGTATTAAAGTTGTCCAGCTGGGGGTTGCCATCAGGGTTGTCCAGTTGGATTCATCTTGTGGGATTATGTCATCTATCTTGTTGATGAGTTTGTGGATGCTGTCTAATGAGATATCCTCTTGATGTAATTCAAACTT